AAAAAAAAAAAAAAACAAAAACAAAAATCATAGGACATGAATGGGCAGGCCTACTAGTGTACACATCAACATTAACTATATCAATTATAGCATGACACCTGTTAGATTTGGCTTGTTTAGGCTCAAGTTCGGCTTGACTCGTCTATCTCGCTTAAAGCTTGTTTCGTTAACGAGCCAGACTCAACTCAGTCTATAGTTCAGCTCGTAATATCTTTAGATTAGTAAGGCTCGAACTCATAATAACGAGTCAAGTTCGAGCTATATTTTTGACTCGTTTACTTAACGAGCCGAGTCGAGCTCGAGCTCGAGCTAGACTCGACTCCTTTACAGTACAGTTGATTTACATCTGATTGTATAAATTAAATCCAAGGTGTATATGTTTATTAGAACAATAAAACACTTGAAATAGTATATCAAATAGATAATCCATTTTCCTTAATTTTTTTGGTCTGCATGCATGAGTTGTGAGCTCTTTTCTTTCTGGTATTATGATCGCAGGCCAAGAATGGCCACATGCCCTTTTCTCTTTGATTGCTAGCTAGGGTTTAGAATAGACAATACACTATTTAAGGATTTTTTGTAAAGTGAGCCGCAATATACAATTCTGCAGATCTCACCATATTGATCATTCTTTTGCTTGTTTTCAATGCTTGCTCATTAATGGTTGTTGTTCTTGCTTCAACATTTCCAACAATGTTACATGTAACAAACAGTTCAAGACCTTTAGAAATATAGTAATTAACAGTTCTCAATTTTTCGTGGGTTGTGGAGAAAAGAAAGAAGAATTAAAAGAAAAAACAATTTTTTTTCTGTTTTACTGAATATATCTTTCTTCAAAGCCTGGCAATATCTGAAGATAAAACGGGAAAGAAACAGAAGAGAAAGGGAGAGGCAAGCGAATGAAAATCCATCGATTCTCTAATATTTACTATTATTATTATTATTATTATTATTATTATTATTATTATTATTATTATTATTATTATTTGTGTTCATTATACCTTCTCAAATTAACATGTACATCTTTTCATTTAAAGTAACGGTTGGTATTAAATGTATGAAGTTACTTTGTTAAGATAGTGGGAGACAAAAATATTATGGTGGAAGAAAGAAAGTGAAATTTTTTATAGTTTTGCAATTGTGAATTGTTTATGAAATTTTTTTCATGTACAAGTTCCGCTCACATTCTTCCCCGGTATGTGCTTCAATAATTCCTCACTCCCCTAATAATCTTTTCTAGTCAAATTTTTAAAAACTATTTTACATGGACTGAAGGTAATTAAACAAATCTTATAATAGATTCAATCACTATAGACTTCTACACAGAAGAAAAAAAAGTTAGGAGGAAAAATCGATCACCGCTTCAATTATATATCTTTTGAAATATATTTGTCAGATTAAAATTTCCAAAAAGACGATTTGCACACGAGAAAATTGCAATTTTTGTCCAGTAACTTAGGTTGTTTGCCATTTTAGTCCACTAACTTAGGCCGATCCAATTATATGGAGGGTTTAAATAATGAAATGCTATCGACACAATCTAGCCGTGGAAAATCTGATCCTGCTTGGGAATTTTGTCAGTTTAATTCGTGAGAATGGAAAGTCTACATACACTTGTTTGTTCTGTAAGAAGCAATTCAAAGGTGGGGGATGGCAGCACACTTGGATGACGTAAAGAAAAAAAGATGATCCTAATTATGATGATTATGAGGAAGGGAGCACAGCAAATGCACCTGAAGACGTGCGAGAAGTACCCGAGTTTACTTCGGCTACCGGCAAAGGGAATAAAAAAGTCATCGCTGGTCATGTCGATAGATATTTTGCGCCGAGGACAACTCTAGGATCTCAGCCAGGCCTTAAAAGTGTGTTTGCGACCAAAGAAGCGGTGAAAAATTCTAACATGGCTCTTGCTCGATGGTTCTACGCCAGTTGCATTCCATTTAATGCGACCCATTCTTGTTATTTTCAGCCAGATTTAGATGCAATTGCTGCCATTGGACCTGGATTTAAAGGTCCTTCATATAATGATGTTAGAGTGAACTTGTTAGGAGATTGCAAAAAAGAGTGTCAGCTTCTCGTTGAAAGTTTTCGAAGCAGTTGGAAGAACTCTGGGTGCACACTTATGGAAGATGGCTGGAGTGATCAGAGGCAAAGAACTTTGATAAACTTCCTGGTATTTTGTCCCGCAGGTATGACATTCATTAAATCTGTTGATGCTTCAGACATGGTGAAAGATGCAAAAAAATTGTTTAATTTCTTTGTTTATGTTATTGAATGGGTTGGGCCTGCGAATATTGTGCATGTAGTGACTGATAATGCGGCAAATTCTGTAGCAGCTGGAAAGTTGATTCATGATAAGTATGAAAACATTTATTGGTCCCCATGTGCAGCACATTGTTTGAATCTGATATTGAAAGATATCTCCTCATTGCCTCATATAAGCTACCTCGCTTATCATGCTTCAAAGATTACTATCTTTGTCTATAATCATATGGTATTTCTGTTTTGGCTTAGAAAGAGGTCTGGTTGGAAGGAGATAGTACGTCCATGAGTCACTCGATTTGCTACAGTCTTTATTACTTTAAAAAGCATTTGTGATCATAAAGAGGACTTGCAAGCCTTGGTGGTCGATAAACACTTTACTGGGCATAGATTAGCTAGAAGTGGTAATGGAAAAATAGTTTGTGAAACTATTTTGGATGCTAAATTTTGGCGAGAGTGCCAAATTGCGGTTAAGCTTGCAGGCCCTCTTATTAGATTGTTGCGAATCGTTGATGTGGACGAAAAACCGTCTTTGGGATATGTGTATGAAGGAATGCAAAGAGCAAAAAATGGCATCAAACAGATGCTCGGAAAAAGAAAAAGTGCGTACAAGCCTTACACTGAAATTATTAAGGCTCGATGGGATAAACACTCGCATCGTAGTATCCATGCTGCAGCTTATTTTCTCAATCCAGCTTTCTTTTATGATGAAAGTTTCAGTGAGAAACATAGAGTATTGAATGGATTACTTGATATGCTTGACATCAAGAGCCTAATGACTCGATTAAAGCAATGAAAGAGATACAAATATATAGAGAGCGCAAGGATAGTTTCTCTAGGCTATCTTGTTTAGAGGCTGCAAAATCACTTACACCAGGTAAAAATATTATTTGTATTTGTGTAATTCTTTTTACGTACATATTATATAAATCATTTATTTTTAACCAATTTGTTCCTATTTTATTATTGCAGATGAATGGTGGAGGTTGTTTGGCGGGAGTGCTCCCATATTAAAAAATATTGCCATACGCATCTTGAGTCATACTTCTTCATCATCAGGATGTGAACGAAACTGAAGTTTGTTTGATATGATCCACACCAAAAGAAGGAATAAATTGGAACATCAAAGGCTTTGTGATCATGTTTACATCACTTACAACCTGCGTTTGAAAGATAGATAAGTTAATATTGTTACTTATTATATAATATGTGCAATGTTTCTTTTGTTGGCATTTGTTACATTATAAACTTATCTAAATAAATTATAATTTATACACTATAGAAAGCATCAAAAGAAAAGATCTTATGATCCAATTGATTATGAAAGCATCGACAAGCTTGATTTTTGGGTGGTTGATGAAGATCCACAACCAGAATTTGATGAGGATGAAGTTGAAAACTTAATTTAAGATGAACAAGCTATTCCAGTTGTTGGTAAGTTGTTTGCTTACAAAAAAATATATGATGATTTGGTAAATTTATTTTGAGCACTTCATGTTAATCTATGTTTTTTTTTTTCTTTCACTTGTTTGTTTTTTATTGCATTTACGTAGATCGCAATGAAGTAAACATGGACATAAATATGCCCTGATGCACCCAATTTGAACTCCGGTGATGGTGGAGATGATGGAAATGGGGATGATGATCTTCTTGGTTATGATTATGCCGATGTTGGATTTGGAAGAATTAGTGGAAATTATGATGATTCGTTCTAGTCGGTGAATTGTGTTGTTTTATAATGATTTTGAACTTGAACTACTCGAAGCTATTTCCTTTTTCCCTCGTTGTAATGTTGGATTGGATGTATCTTTTTTTTTATTAACTTTGTAGTTTGTGTTTGTTATTGGGATTGCTTTGCTTTAGAAATTGTGTTTATTAATATATTGTTTTAGTGAACTTAAATTAGTATTGCTTATGTGATTATTGAACTCTTATTTAGGAAAATGTCGTTATATACTGTAAAATTAATGATAAAAATATATATAATTATATATTGAACATATAAATTATATAAATAAATTATATATTAATTAAACCGGTTCGACCGGTTCGACCACTAGTCCGACCAATGAACCATTGAACCGGTAGCTTCACCGGTTCGATGAACGGTCCGATTTTGAAAACCATGATATTCATAGTTACTATTAATATTTATCTTTTTAGAAATAATTTCATATTTCATGAACAAGAATTGTAATTTTTTGTTAACTAA